CTTGGTGACATTATATTGGACAGCTTTCTCCAGATGACAGGTGAGACCCAGCACAGTCACTTTGGTAGCGGGGGCAACAGGAGGCCATGTCAGTGAGCTTCCTATTCAGCCTTGGCAGTGCCAGTAAATGCAGGGATGATGTTCTGGGCAATCCACCCTGAAGTTTCCCAAAGGGGCCATCTGTGGTTGGTCTTCTGGGTGGCAGTGATGGCATGCACTGTGGTCACGAGTCCCTCCATGATGCCATAGTTGTCATGGATGATTTTGGTCAGGGAGGCCAAGTAGTTGGCAGTACAGAAGGCACTGCTGACATCTTGAGCGAGTTGTCATACTCATAGTTAATGCCCATCACAAACACAGGGGCATCAGCAGAAGGGGCAGAAATGATGACCCTTTGGGCTCTACCCTTCAAGTGAACTCCAGTCTTCTCCAAAGTAGTAGAGATACCAGTGGATTCCACAATATATTTAGCATCAGCACCACCCCATTTGATGTTGGTAGAATCTTGTTCCTGGAAGATGAAGATGGACTTTTTATTGAACACAAGTTTCTCATTCTCAGTCTTGACTGTTCCGTTGAACTTGCCATAGATGGAACATGTATACCATGTAGTTAACGAAGGAATCATTGATGGCAACAAAATCCACTTTACCAAAGTTAAAAGCAGCTCTGGTGACCAGGAGCTCAGTATGGACAAATCCATTTACTCTGACTTTGCTCATTGTGTCTTAAGGATGATGCACAAGTGGATGCGGCTTCTGTTGAAAGAAGACAAGCAGAGTGTCTTCAGCACAACATTGAATACAAGTGGTGAGAACAGATATCCTTGCCTTTTCTTCCTCCCAAGGGGGAAAGCATTCAGTCTTTCATCGTTAAGTATAATGTTAGCTGTAGCTTTTTTGTAGATGTCTTTTACCAGGTTGATTAACTTTTCTTCTATTCCCAATTTACTGACAGTTTTTATTAAGAATCACTGATGGAGTTGGGCAACTACTATTTCTGTATTTGTTGAGATAATATATGATTTTTTCTTTTTTAGTCTGTTTATATTGTAATTAATGTATGTTAAAACAAACTTGTGTTCCTGGGATAAATTCCATTTCATCATGATGTAGTATCTGTCTTATATATTGTTGGTTTCAACTTGCTAAATTTTTGTTGAGAATTTTAGTATCTATGTTAAGTGATATATTGATCTGTAGTTCTCTTTTGTCATGTATCTTTATCTGTTCTCACAGAATGCTACTCTTATAGAATGTTAGGCACTGTTTATGCCTCTTCACGATTTTGGAATGATTTTTATAGAGTTGGTATTATTTCATACTTTCATGTCTGGCAGAATTTCCCATTGAAGCCATATGGGCCTGGAGGTGTTTTATTTTGGTTTGTTTTGTTTTGTTGGAAATGTTTTTAACTACAGTTCAAATTCAATTTCTTTAATAGATGTGGGTGCTATTCAGATTATCTCTTTCTTTTTGAGTGTTTGGTAGTTTGTGTTTTTTAAGAAATTTGTCCATTTCATCTAAGTTTTCTAATTTATTGGAATAAAACTATTTTCTGCTACTAATTCATTTATTATCTTTAGAATATGTAGCGATATTTTCTCTTTCTTTCTGATATTGGCCTTTTTTTTCTGATCAGCTTGGCTGTAGATTTATCAGTTTTATAGTTTTTTTTTTTAAGAATCAGTTTTGATTTCATTGATTTTTTTCTATTATCCTGTTTTCTATTTCATTGGCTCTGTTCTTTTTTTAAAAAAAAATTATTTTCTTTCTTTTGCTTATTTTGGACTTAATTCTATTCCTTAAAATGAAAGTTTTCTGTTTCTTAAGGTGAAAGGTCATCATTGGGGGCATTGCTAATATTGTCATTTTAATGCTATAAATTTTCCTTTAGATACTGCTTTAGTTGCATCCCAAAAGTTTCAGTGTGTTGTGTTTTATTTCCTTTCAGTTTAAAGTACTCTCCAACTTCCTCTGTGATATATCCTTTGACTTATGTGTTATTTACTTATGATTATTTGTGAGCTTTTCAGATACCTTAATGATTTCTAATTTGATTCCATTGGGGTCAGGGAACATATTTTGAATGATTTGAATCTTTTTAGATTTATTGAGATTTGTTTATGGCCCATAATATAGTATATTTTGGTAAATGTTCTGTGTTCACTTGAAAAGAATATGTATTATATAAATGCCAGTTAGGTCAAATTGATTGGCATTATTATTCAAGCCTTCCAAACCCATATCGATTTTCTATTTACTTATTTCTATCAATTATTAAGAGAGGGGTGTCGAAATCTCCAAGTATAGATGAATAAGACTATTTCTCTTTTTTCCTTCATGTGTTTTGAAATTCTGCTATTATATGTATAAAGGATCATTAGGATTTTTATATCTTCTTAATAAATTGTCCTCTTTATCATTAAAAAATGACTTTCTCTATTTCTTGCTCTAAATATTCTTTGTTCTGAAATCTAGTTTGTTCAGTGTTAATACAGTTATTCAGCTTTCTTTTGATTAATATTATTATGGATTTTCTGTCCTTTTACTTCTTATCTATTTATATCTCTATTTAAAATGGATTTCTTGTAGTGAGCATATAGCGGGTCTCTTTCTTTTTTTTAATCCAGTCTGATAATTTTTTCTTTTTAACTAGGGTGATTGGACCATTTAGTTAATGTAATTATTGATATGATTGTGTTTACTCTCTGCTTTCTACCTGTCTCATCTATTTTTTGTTCCCCTTTCAATTTTTTTCTTTTGCCTTTTTTTGATTTTTAAAAATGAGTCCATAGGTTATTTTAAATGAATACATTATATTTGTTTTAAAACTCTCACCTATGGCATAAAAATAACCCTTTGTTTTTATTTATGTAATTCAATACATATTTATTAAATAGCTATTGTATTATTTAGAGAAAGAGTTTTGGAGTAGGTGAGTATTGATCTGGGCTTTGGAGAAATGGTAAGCTATGACTGGTTAGTAGGAGTGTGGTTAAAGGCACCGAGGTAGAAATTAATAGGGCAGGACTGCATGAGTTTAGGAGGAGGAACAAAATTACAAAAATTCTAAGACTATAATAGGAAATTGAAACTGCTTCAAAGATTGATTTAAAAAATGTTAAAAGCCTAACCAACTTAATGAAATTTGTAAAATATAAACACTTTATCATTTTCCCGGTTTAACTGTCACATTTTTTATTCTCAGGAGGTAAGGTACCATTGGATTGAAATAAAGTTAAGATCAAAATAATGTTAAAACCTTAGAATTGACTAATTATATTTGGACAATAGTCTCCTCAAAACTTTAACTACCAAATAAATTGTTTAATTTTCATCTAACTTGACCTCTTCACTTCTTTTTGGAGCAATTTCCTGTTTTAAATTGTGTAATGATTTCTCTTGTTTTTATTTCTACTCCTGGACAATTCTCCATGTTCTTCATATAAACTTCCCCTTGCTGGACTTTTAAATATTGTGAATTATCCATAGTTCTATTGTCTCTCCTGCATTTCTCTCATTTTTCTCTGAAAGTTTCAGTGAGGGTTGGGAGATTTTCAGATTTTGAGTTGCCTTATACTTGGAGCTATCTAGCCACTTTAGGTTTGAGATTAAATATAAATAAATGTAAAATTTTTAAACCCAGGATTTATAGGTTTTAACTAATATTAACCTTTGAGTAAGATTTCACCTTGCACCCATATGCAAATTTCCCACTTGAGATTTTTGAGTCTAATGACCTCTCTCTCCCTCCTACAGAGTCTAATATCAGGCACTCCCATAATTTTTACCTTCTGTATAATGATTAGTTCTAACAGTCTGTTGAACTATGTTCTAACAAATATAATACATACTAGTACTGTGTTCTAGTAATGTCCTAAGAGCTTGACAGGTATATATCAGTTACTTAAAATTCAGCGTCTCCAAACCTGAAGTCATTGTTTGCTCTCCATCTGCACTGTCCTCCCAAGCAGATTTGCTCCTTTTTTTCACATCTTAGTTAATATTGTTATTTTCCTTCTGGTCAACTAAGCCTAAAAGCTGAGTCATCTAGATGACCACTTCCTCCTTCCTTCGGTTGGGCCCTGCATCTTATGGATTTTCTTTGAATTAATTTTTGAGTAAGTTCATTCTATTCGTTTTCATTGTCCCGCCTTAGTTTTAGTCTGTGATGATCTCTTGTTTAGAATAGCTATTTATTTCTTCTCAGAGATGGCCTCTGTGTTCTCTGGCACCTCAATTATCTTATTTGTCATTGTTAGTTTATGTGTTTATCTTCTCCATTAGACTCCATTCTGGCAGAGAAGGACCTTGAATTATGAATTTGTACTCTCAGTGCCTAACTTATATGTGACATGCAGTTGGGGTACAATAAATATTTTGTGAATACATGAATTAGCTTGTCATTAGATGTTAGTTTTGATGGCTTTAATATCATCATGAACATTATATAAATTCCCTTTTTGGTCTATTTTTGGTAAAGTATCTTTCAGTGCCTTATTTATTAAAAAACTGAACATAGTTTCTATAATTTTAGTGATCAAGGATAAAATGAACTCTTATATAGCCGCATGTTGTCTCCAGAATATTCTTCCCATGGTGCAAAAATAAGTTATCTCAGAATGTGTGTGTTAAAAGGGGCATCATAAATCTTTATTATTTGGTATATAATATAGTAGCTGAATGTTAATTACTTCCAACATTTAACTAATTATATAAGGTAACAGAGAATTTTTGGATCCAGATTTTAATATATGGCAGTGGACCTACATCTGCTGATAATTTCTGAAAGTAGTTATAGTCCCTAATAATTTCTTTGCATCAAATAAATGAAGCTTTCGTTCTGAGGGGAATGTATGAAACATGGCAATCGTTTTCTACATGACTAAAATTTTCATATGCAACATGCTGCCTGCTGTGGGACTATCAGGCTTCTCTTAGTTTTTTAAAGCACGATTCTGCTTAAACACTAACTCTGCACTTGTGCTTTATTTGCAGCATCTGGCGAGGCCCGAACGTGAATTGCACAGACAGTTCGGGTTACACTGCTTTACACCATGCAGCCTTAAATGGACATAAGTAAGTGCCACTTATTTGGATTGGAATCCTCGTGTATTTAATTCCATGCGATGAAGTTAATTATGTCTGACGATACCTGTCTAATGTTGCCATGAGTCCCCTGGGCTTAGATGAATTTGGAGAGGCACCAGGTGGCACCAGTGACAACCTTGGTAGGAATGTTGCTGAGGGTGATTATGTGCAGAGTGTAAACTGAGAGAATTGCTCTAAAATAGTCAAATATCACACAAGGAGAATGAAAGAAGTGACAGGCATGTTAGTCATGTGTACATTTATAGAAGAAATGGAATAAAACCACTTAATAAGATCACCCTACCTTTTTTGCTATCTTCATCTAAGATGGGATTATTCACATAGGAGTGAAATCCTTATAGATTCATGCTGTTATGAGCCATGGGAACTTGTATGAACCACTTTGAAATCCTTCAAATTTAGCTAAATACATTTTCTTTGGCATTCTTGATGGTCTTTCTGGTTTTAAACTTGTTTGTTTAACCTATGGAATTATGTTTCAAATGATGTGATAATATACAGTATGGAG